GGGGAGACCTTCCCCTTCCCAACCCGGGGGTCCCGTCCTGCCTCAGCTGCTGCTTTTAGGGGGAGGGAGGGACAGGGAAGGGGCCAAGAACCATTGCCACGGAGTTGTGCTTGGGCAGGGACACAGAACTGCCACCGGGCAGAGGCAGCTGAGCAGTTCCATGCCTTTATCTCACCTCCAGGAGTGTTTTTCATGGGGATTTTCCAAAGCAAAAGCCACTGTGAAACATTCCTTGTGTACACACCTCCCTGAGCATTGGGACCTGCATTTCCCATAGATGAGGAGAGGGCTGGAGAGGTGGGGAAGGAGAAAGAGAAGCTGTGGGAGGAGGGAAGGAGTTGAGAAGTGCCTAGGAAAACACTCCAGGAGGCCAAGGAGAAGCTGAGCTGCTGTCAGAGCACAAAGCACAGGCAAGGGACCCCCAATCTGTCGGAGCAGGAGACGAGGCCAGAACAGCATCTAAATTAGCGCCGAGTGTTTCCATTGTGAGAGGCACAATGAGGACCATATGTCAGGGCCAGGCCTGGCAGAGGGGACAACAGGCCCTGCAGAGATTTGGGAGCTGCTGGTGCTGCCCTCATCGATTATCCCTCCCAGAGAGGGGAGAGCACGGCCAGGGTGGGATGGGGACAGGGGCTGGGAGAGGAGCTGGGGCTGGGTGAAGGCAGAGGGGACATGGAGCATCCCAAGGGGAGGAATGAACATGTAATCGATGTTTCATCAGGAACTGGAGTACCAGGATGAAGGGGAATGGGTTCAGCCCCACGGAGGGGAAATTTAGGTTGGATATAAGGCAGGAATTCTTCCCTGCGAGGGTGAGGAGGTGTTGGAATGGAATTTCCAGAGAAGCTGTGGCTGCTCCATCCCTGGAGGTGTTCCAGGCCAGGTTGGACAGGGCTTGGAGAAACCTGGGCTAGTGGAATTTGTCCCTGCCCATAGCAGGGGATGGGATGATCTGATCCTTAAAGTCTCTCCAACCCACCCCATCCCATGCTTCTAAATCCCTGAGCTGTGACAGAAAGGAGCACCAAGTCCCCTCTGTGCCCCTGCAGCCACTGCTGTCCCTGCAGCTTGTCCCCTCCCTCCCCTGCTCCGTGTTTTTCTCTCCCTCTGGCCTCTCCTGGCAGCCGAGGCCAATTGATTATCTGCAGAAATTTGGAGCCATGGGGAAGCAGCTGCAGCCAGAGCCCCCGGGACAGGCAGCAGTGGCTGGGCAAAAGAGGCGAGCCCCCCCCCCTTTTTTTTGCGAGGGCTGCAGGGCAGGGAGGGCAAAGCTGCCTAGGCCAAGGCTGCAGGGCTGGCTCAGGGCTCTGCAGGAGAGGCAAAGTGGATTTTGGGGGGTTTTGGGGGGTTTGGAAGTGCTGGTGGCTGGTTGAGACATCCTTGTCTGTCTGCTGTGACATTTGGGGGCTGCTTGTCCTAGCAAACCCAAACTGGGCTCAACTGGGGATCACAGCCCCCAGGGAGAGGTGAAGATGTGGCTGAGTGTGCCCACATGGTGCTGGCAGAGCTGGAGGTGCCAGGAGGGCACTCCCTGGTCCCTGAGCCTCCTTCCACCACCTCCTTCCACATCCATCAACTCCTGTATGGGATCCCTCCCCACCCCAAACGCAGGACGAGGCCAAAAGCAGAAAGAAAACACCAAGCTGAGCACTGTGAGTTCAAGGTCTCTCTTGTGCTGCAAGTTTAATCCCTTTCCCCCCTCCCCAGATTCCTTGGGAACCTACAGACAGCCCTGGCACAGTCCGAGCAGCCCCACACGGGGGACACCAGGGTGAGCTGTGGTTTTCCCTCTGTGACCTCTCGACTTTTCTGCTCCTTTCCTCCTTTTTTTCCTTTTCCCAAAGTGCACGACAACAACACGGCCAATAAATAATAGGTACATTTCTCAATAAATTAATTCAATAAATATCCTCGTGGCACACGGACGTGGCTGGAAGGGAGGGGAGGGGGAGATGCTCTGAGGTGGTGGTGGGAGTCAGCTCTGGGATCTGCTGCTCTGGGATCTGCTGCTCCAGCCCTCTGGGATCCACAGCTCCAGCCCTCTGGAAGTCACTGTTCCAGCTGAGCTGGATCCCGCAGGGATCAGACACACACCATGGGCAGTGCCAACACCACCAGGACCTCCCACTCTGCCTTGGGCTTTGCTGGTGCCCAGTGCCCCTCACCCTGCGCTGGGGTCATCTCTGGCACCCCAAATCTGGCAGAGAGGCTCAAGCAGGAACATCCTCATCCCATTCCCTGTGGGCTGTGGCTCTGCTCAGGACCTGTGGTGTTGGCTCCAAGCACAGCCAGTGGTCCTGGTGCCCCCACCTGGAATCTACTTGTGCTCTTGGCGACTGCAAAATCACCAATCAAACCCTCCAAAAACACAGCAAAACACTCACTCCTGCAATGAGCTTCCCCAGCCTCAGCACGGCCTTGCTGGGCTCTGCTTACCCCTCTCTCCCCTCCCTCTCCCAAAGTGCTGATCCATGTTTTTGAGGCTGGGAGAGCATTGCCTGCTGGACATTGGGAGCAGGAGCTGTTTCTGCTTCCTTCCCCCTCTGCCACCACTGTCCTGCAGCCACAGCTAAAGTGCAGTTTACCCCAACCAAGAGGTCACCCCAAACCAGTGCCACACTGGTGTGACTGGGAGGGGCACACAGCCCTTTCACACACCAGCACCAGGGGATGGAGGTGGTGCTGGGGGAGCCAAGGCTGTTTTCCCCCCCGTGCTGGGGCACATGCCATGGTTGTGACCTCCCTCAGGGTCCTCCTTTCTGCCCAGGAGACACGGGAAGAGTGGGGAGGGATGAAGAGCTGCGTGGGGAGAGCTCTGGGCCCCAGGTTGGGAATGCTTCATGCTCACTGTGCACCAGCTGAGCAGCCAAGCCAGGGCTGGGGGTTCTGGGGAGCAGAGAGATGAGTTTGGGGAGCTCAGATGTGCAGGGAGAGCCCCCAGTGCTGCTCCAGCCTGGCACAGCATGGGGCACCTCGCAGGGACCTGCTGGGGGAATCCACCTCTGGCATCGTTGGGAAGTGTGGCCAGGCCCATCCCTTCCTCCTGGTGGGTGAAGAGCCAGGGAGGCACAAAGGATCTGCTCTGGGCACATGGTCCTGGTGGGGCCTGCGGTGCCCAGCACGGTGCCAGGGGCAGAGCAGCAGCAAAGGGAGGAGGAGATGCCCAGACTGGCTGTGCTGGGGCTGAAAAGTGCAGCTGGACAGACAGACAGACAGACCCCAGAGCTGCAGTGTCACCCCAGTCTGTGTTTGTGGCCTGTGTGAAAGAGGTGACACCAGACACACCTGGGCCCGGTGGCTCCTGCCAGGGTCAGGGACAGACAGATGGACATGGGCTGAGCAGCAGAGGGATGTGCAGCAGGAGGATGGACAGAGGTTGGGAGCACACACAGCCAGGCAGGACAGACAGATAGTTGAGGGGCCAAACACCCAGCTGCACTCAGGCAGGATGGACAGACACACGGACATGGGCTTGGTTCAGGCAGGGGGGAGAGCAGTCAGCCCAGCAGGACAGACAGACGGACACAGGCACAGCAGTTCGGATGGATGATGTGTAGTTCAGGTCATGGGTGGACAGATGGACTCAAGTCCTTGGCTTAGATGTCTGGCATGTGGTTCAGACAGGAGATGTGACAGACAGACAGATGTAATCCAGGCAGCTCAGACATCCAGCATGTGGTTCAGGCAGGAGATATGACAGACACACAGACACACTCTGATGGCTCAGATGTCCAGCACGTGGTTCAGGTAGGAGATATGACAGACACACAGACACTCTGACGGCTCAGATGTCCAGCACATGGTTCAGGTAGGAGATGTAGCAGATGGCCAGGCGCAGGATCTCGATCTTGGAGAGTTTCTTGTCCGGGGGCAGCGTGGGCAGCAGCTTGCGCAGCTCTGCGAAGGCCATGTTGAAGGCCTCGACGCGGATGCGCTCGCGCGTGGCGTGCGCCGTGCGGTACTTGGCCGTGGCTCGGCGCCG